ATTTTGTGACAAATAATAATTAACATGATGTAGTAGCTAAAATAGGTCTTTTGTAAAAATTCCTTGAGAAAGAATTTTAAAATATAAAGTATTTTTTAATTTAGCTAGTATAAGTCTTAATGTGATAGTAGTGGTTTTTATTGACATTAAAAGATTTAAATTAAATTAAAAGATGAAGTAGAATTATTGATTCAAAACTATCAAATAAGGATAAAAGAAAGAAAAAATAAATAAATAAATAAATAAAAATATAAAGAAGAATAGGAAAAGAAAAAAATAAAATAAAAAATAAAAATAAAAAATAATCAAAACAAAGAAAAAGATAGATATGAAGCAAGAAGCAGCCCCCAATTTTTGGCACCCCCTTTTTCAATAAAGATTTGTGCTACTTCAGATTTTTTTTTTTTCTTTGATTGTTTTTTCGTTTCTTTTTCTTTTTGATGCTTCATAAGTTTTAGCATTTAAATTTTTTTTTTTTTTCTTCTTTTTTTTTTTTTTTTTGTTAAAATATAAAAAAACTATGGAATTTTATTGTTTTTTTTTTTTTTTTCCTCTTCTTACTTTTGCAAATACTACAATAGTATCATTGGCTCACCTATATCATTATTCTAGTTTTAGTGATCAAAAGAATTTTTTGATTGTGGGCATCTTTCTTTTTTTTATTGTAAACATTGCTTGTCTTTGACAATGGTTGTCAACTCTTTATGTGTTGATTTCATAGTTTTAAATTATTGCCATGGTCCTTGTTGTTAGGCATAGTCATGGAGGTTAAATTGCAAAAAGTGATTTGCATAAGAGAAGTGTGATGGTAGAAGGTAAATTAGCCTTAGAGGAACATCAATGATTCTAGTTCTTTCAATTTGGTTTGAGGATTTCTTCTAATTAATCAATGCGCTATTGGGATAGAGAGAGTTTGCCTCAAGAAAGCTTTGGGCTTCTGGCTACCACTAAATACTCAATCAACTATAAGATATAAAAGTACCAAGTTTATATATATAATATATTCCCTTTTAGGGCAATTACATCAATACATAAGCCCAAGTACCAAGAAAACACCCAAATATATGATAAAGTATCTTTAAACCTTATATATCCTTATGAGAAATGTTTTTTGAACTTCAACATCTCATAACTCACGATCAGACCATCCAAAAATTCTAAATTTTACATGAAGTATTGATATGCTTTCAAAAACTACCACAAAAAAATTTCAATTGCAAGTTCGTTACAGATCTTGAAATATCACCAAAATCCTAACAATAGCTTTAAACCCTAGCTTACATATACCTGTATGCTAATCTCTTCATATCTCATAAAATAAGTACTCAAATACCATGAAACTTTAATCTATAGCTTTTCAACTTAATAATTCATACTTATGGAAATTTTGAGCCAAAAATTCGTCCAGAAATTCAAGATATGGCTCCAAACATTAATATCAACAAAATGACTCACTTACTACCTTTGAATTACATGTGATGTCTTCAATGCCCTATAACTCCTTCATTCAGACTTGGAATTCGTCAAATAGTATATATAAAGTATAGCTAAGAAAGTTTTCTCTTCAACTCCAGTCATTGATTAACTCCATGATGGTCAATTTAGATTAATTGATCTCTCTCTTTGTCTAATAGAGTAGTAGTCTTAACCACTTGTTGCTCATCAATTATTTATTTTTTTTTCAATCCTACAAAGGCCAAATTGCATTCTTCTCTATATTGAAGTTTTCTCTAGCTCAAAGTTTTTTTCAAAGTATACTTAAAGATAAGGGAACATGCTCAAAGCTTCAATAGTGTGGAGATGGAGTGATAGTCTATTATCTACTCTGACAACTAATTGGTCTTGTCTTTATTAATTTAAGATTGATTAGTAATTGTTGTATATATTATAATAGAAAATTAAAAATTATCTAGTATTGAATTATACTTATTATTAGAAATAGTCAATATTATAAGTTGCTAGTATATGTGTTAATCCTTTGAGGATAGAAGGCAAGATAGTAGCAATCATGTCAAGGAAGAGGGAGCACAAATTACCAAAGGAATGGCCAATCTGAAATTCAACAACCTACTTGATTTATATTGTCAAAAGATCTAAGTATCATGTTTCAAAGGTGCTATGAAAGGCAGTTGGTGCATATCCAGAAGCAAAGCAATAAAATTTGAGAATTCTTTCTAATGGCATTTTTGTAAGAATTTTAAAAAAAAAAAAAAACATATATGTGGAAATGAATTGTAATTAAGTGCAATTCATATTAGATAAAATTTAAATTTGGATGACACATTGACTTGGATAAACAAACCTCATTTAATAAAAAATTATATATGAATATTAATTAAAAGTAGATAAATTTTTATTTGTAGATGAAAAGTTATTTATGAAATAAAAATTCATTCATAGATGGAAATTTCTTTGGAATGAATTTTGAATGTTTGAATGATAATTAGTAATAGATAAAATTAAAAATTAAAATTAAAAATTCCATCAACTTAAATTAAATCATCTAAAAGAAATTATCTTTTAAAGTGTGAATTTTGTTGTGATATTTAAGTGATTATCTTTTTATTGTAGAAGTTGATGGTGAATTTAAATTAGTATAGAATTGAAAAGTTAAAACACAATAGAAAATAGATTAATCAATTAAATTATAAATTAATTAATATAATTGAATTAAAATAGATTATATATTGAAAAGACTTATATCAATTCCAATTGATATTTTTATTGGAATTGTTGGATACATAATCAAATATTAATAGGAACTTATTAAAAAAAATTAGATAATTAAATTGTTGCAAATTAGAATAGACTTCCAACTATTGGAGATTTATTTTACTTCACACAAATTCAAAGGAGGTAGATGTCATGTCATAATTTGACTATATGGTAAAATATATATATATATATATATAATATAGAAGAATCAAGTAAAAAGATGCAGTAAAAAATAAAAATAAATGATAGGAAGATAGTAAAAAATATAGTCTTAATATTTTCTTTTATAGAAGAGATTTCTATGTACTTTGGAAGAACATAAATACCTCAAATTAAAATAAATAAGATAATTAAATAATATAGATATCTTTAAAAAAAATTAATAATAGGTTTAGGCAAACATCACTTAAAAATACCAAAAATTGATATCAAGAGAGGACTAATTGTAAATCTAGATTGAAATCAAATTCTAAAGCACAAAATTATATACTTACAATGACTCTAGGATTTTTTTGTTAATTAAAGAGTGAAATTTGAGAAGAAACTTAAGAAGAGATTTTTAAGAGTTGGTTATATATTATTTGGATTAATATTGAGGTCTTAAAGAATTTTCAAAGTTAATGATGTATTTGGTGGATTTAGGTTTTGAGAAATAAAAATAAATTTATAAATTTAAGAATTTTGTCTTTATGCTTGTTGTAAATGTGCATGAAAAATTTTAAGTTAATTAAATTGTTAGATTGAAGAATATGAGAGTTTTTATAGGTTATGATCTTAGATAATTGAAATTTTGGGTGAATAAGGGATTTTATAATTTGGCAATATTTGCTAATTTGGTAGGAATAAAAATTGATGAAAAAAATTTAGACTTAAATATCTACATACAATCAAAATTTTGGAGCAATTAAATAGTTCAATAAGTAGAAATCTTTGTTGAAAGATCAACATTCAAGTTGGAGAAGAAGATATCATGGATATTGATATAATACCTCATTTTAAGTAACCATGCGAAGGTATGAATTCACCATATAACTTTCTCAATAAAGTAGCTAAGGATAAGGATAGATTGCAAGTCTTAGATAGGAATTTAGATCTTGAGTGTGACTTGTAGGAAACCCAAGATGCCTTCTTATGCAAGAAACAAATACCAATGAAATGGCATAGATAGCAACTTGCAAAACAAGTAACTATGCACATGCTTAATAATAAAGACTATAACAATAACTTAAACAACAAGATTGAGGATGTAATGGTTGCAAAATATCTAATTTTGAAATATTTTTTCAAACATCCATAATTCAAGGAATAATATGCCACAACTATAAATATAAAAGGTTTGTTTATTTTATGGAAAATCAACAAATTGACCAATTTTTTATGTATATACCTATGCATTGTACATATTAAGGCCTTAGTATTATAATATAACAACTTTATAATAGTAAAGTATTATCTTGTAGCATTCAAATTTTTTCTCATAAAAGTTGTCAAAGACCTCTTTGCATCATTGACATCTTGAAAATAGGATGTGAGATACTTTGAGGGATAAAATATTATTTGTTAGCGTAATCAAATAGAATAAGGCCAAAACCACGAACAAAAAGATAAGAGCAGCAATGACAATACCACCATAAAATGTGGAGGCACCACTTGAGTATAAGCTAGGAAGGTAAAATATTAAAAGATTAGAAAAATATCTTAGTGGTTAATTAGGAATTAGAAAAATGAACATAGTTTTATTAGATAGTACAATCTTGGAATAAAGTAGTATTGGGCCAAAAGCCATGTAATTCTAAATTTTAGTAATAAACTAGCTTATTTACAAATTAGTGTGCATTGTTTGTGGTAGTTGTCCCAAAGTTTTGTCTTGTGCTTGCTTGTAGACCCTAAAGCTCGAGTAGTAAGAAACAGTTGAAATTAATTGTATAACTCAAACTTTAAAGAGTACAAAGATTAAATCAACACCTTCTATAATGAAAATTTTCTTCTAAAATAGATAATTTGATAAAGAACATATTTAAAGAAGCATAAAATATTTGAATTATGGTATTTTTAAAAATTGTAATATCAAAAATATACATTAGAAAAATGATATGCAAGAGATAATACAAAGATTTCGAAAATAGGATACAAAATATAAAATGTTGTTTATAATAGAATATATATATATATATATATATATATATATATATTCATTAATCAGTCAGCCAAAGGGAACGCCTCTAGGCAACTAAAAATCTGCTGGAACAAGATTATTAAAAAAGTAGTCAAAGAAATTGCTTAAATTTAAAATTATTACAAATCACTCATGGATTCTTTATAAAATAATTTGGTTTTATGCACTTGATTACTAATTATGTAAATAAATATATCAACACACCGATAAGTGTATCTAATCCATTGCAGCAGCATCCCTTGGAGAAACATGTCACGATGTCCCAGCATCGTGCATGGAGCAGGGGCTGGAAATGGGCGTCAACGATGTAAGTCTAGTCTGCTACACAAGTCTGTGTTGTTGCAACTATCTTCGGAGACTGCATGGTGCAAAGAACGATCAGACTCTGGAAAGGATGTGCAAAAACTGGGTGCAAAATCATCGTAGCACAGGTCTGCAAGAGTTACCCAGTCATAAAAAAAAGCAATTTGTAGGCAGAGTGTTCTTCGATTTGGGCTCGACTTACAATCATGTAAGTAAAACCGGGAATCGGCAGGCTTCACAGTCGGCTGGTGGGATACAGTCGATGCCGACTGTTATTGACAAATGCGATGAAGGAGCATCACGCCAAGACTTCTGGAACCTGAGCTGCTTCTGTGCAAGTTTCCTTTTTTATCCAGAATGGAGTGAGATGAGCTTGCCTCAGTCGAGATTATTTGACTTTTCTGTGGAATGGTAATTTCCAGGCTGCATGAAAGTAGTGTCGGACGTAAGTTCACACAAGTTGTTCATATCGATTCTCTCACCTTTGATAAATCTAACAAGGTAAAAGAGCTACTGTAGATCTCTAGAAGCTTATTTCGTGTAAGACATTGTGAAATACAAAACTCTATGATCTTCAAATCTATATTAAAATAAACAAACAAATGTAAACGATAATAAAGAAAAGAATAAATAGCAATGGACAGTACATTCAAAGAATTGACTTACTCCGTGCTCAACATTACTTTGTAAAGTTTACCGTCAGATAAATAAAATTTACTCGCTGTGATTAATGATACACATACACTAGTGGAACATAATGATTTAAACTTACATTCACAGTGACTTTCATAAATTCGCGTTGCAAACCTTGAACTGCACAATTTGATAGTTCTCGTTGAAGATACATGATCAAAAACGGCCTACAATGTACTCCTTAATCACTTGAAGAGATACCAGTCATTGTACATTTTAGTAAGAGAATTAAAATAAATCAATTTCAATAAAATAAAGAATTCATTGAAAGGAAAAACTGAAATATAGAATAAATTGATATATGAATCATTAGATTATTAGTTAGAATAATATAGCGGGCAGATATTAGTATCATGTATGAAATTTGATAGACGGTACATGCAGTGGAACTTAAACAAGGAGATAGGAATATAATGTCATTAATAAAATCTAATAAGAAACTCATTTCACTTGGTTTAAACATGAGATTTCCATCCCCTCATGGACCTGAAGCTATACTTCTATACCGGAACCAAGACATGAAAAAATCATGACTTCATCATCCAACATGAACTGACACGAGCGAGTAAATTTCTTGTAACTGACTGAAGCCGTGCCAAACCAGATGCAAAGAAAAACAACCCAAGTGAATACAGATTCACAAAGCAGAGAACAGTTCTTGAATGTTAAATCCAACCAGAAAGGGCACCATGAACACAAACCTATGAAAAGACTACCTCTCCTGCATAATGTTGAAGTCCCAGCTCAGAAAGGGGTGTTCCTTTCCCAGGTCTATGGATGCTTTGGCATGACTGCTGTTCAAGGACCAAGCACCTAACATTAGTTCTTACCATCAAAATCCACTACATCCCTTCTATTTTATTTCCATCATAACGCTGGTCACCTGGAACAAATGCAGCTTGGAGCTGGAAAAGTTAATTCCACAAGGATTTCACCTATTAGTGCGACATACGTTGTAAAAACTGAGCAGCATTTTTAGTACTGTAGAAAGCCTACGAAGGCCATTCTAACATGAACTGCAAAATGATGGAAAATGAATTTTTCATGTAAATGCGTATGAAAAATTCAACACCACTAACATGTGCCAGGCAGTGAAATTGGTAAAATGACTTCCGTCAATGCCGACTGTCAAGGCTGTTAAAAATAGTATCCAATCTAACGTACATAGACATAATCAAGTGTATATCACGGTCGTGAGCAGCCACCATCAAATACTTCAAAACGTGATGATCACCCTGGGATTTTACTGCGTGCAACATGTTAGACTTGAAATTAGAATCCACGACTTCCTCACCTTTCGGAATCGGCTCTAAACTTTCGGAATTCTGTTCCTTGTTCTCAAACAAATTAAAAGATAAGTCATGTGAAGCAAACAGTGGAACTGGGTCTCATGGAGAATTCATCAGCTCTTATCAGCATGACCCATGTGTATGAGAAAGTGATTCCTTTTGTTAGCATGAACGCAACTCGATAACACAGAATATTGTATCATACGTAACCACATCTATCCGTCACTGAAAAAGAGTAGAGCGAGGATATAGACTTACAACACATGGCAACTTTCACTAAGAGGTGATGTTACCTGTTTGCACTAGTTTACAGCAGGAGAATATGATCATAAAGCGCACGAAGTCCTGAAGTGCTTATGGATGAATCCCTGGAGCTTCAGAGGCCTTTGCTGGTCGTCGATTCAAATAGCGAATTACTGAATCTTCCACCCTGCACTCCCACGTTCCATCATAAGCCCATGACACTAAAATAAATGTGTCATGTAGTTGAAGCCTCGAGCAAAAGTCTCAGTAACCGTAAGGACAAAAGGCACACACCAAGGTTGATTGTAGAAGTCAGATCTTCGCTCCTTCTCCGCGTTCCGATTGTTCTGCCCAACAACCATCTTAAGGTCCCGACTTTGAGAAGCAACCAAGCCATTGATGAAATCCACCGGAGAGTGACTGAATCCCAGGAAGTAAGCACGCCTCCGGCGATGCTCGCTGATTTTCCGTATAGTGTTCTCTATCACGTCATCATGAAGATCGATATCCCTATGCTTCTCAATGTTGGTCAGGAACTGGTTCATTTCTTTCAGTAGAGGCGCTGGAAGGTTGACGCTGACATCGTAGCATGCGTTCCCTGCTGGGATACTCCCCGACACCTTAATTCTATGCTGCAGATGTATGGGCTGTAGAGGACTCAAATGCTGGTGTAGTCTTGCAGAAATTGACGCAAATTTTATTCTCTCATCACCGAAAATTCTTCGCAATGCAGCATCACAGTCGATCATGGTCGGGTCCACATGATTCTGGAGCTTCTTGATTTTTATATATTGCCACACGGCCGCACATATATGCGTCCGTGAATCCACCTCAACGCCAAGAACTTGAGCCAGAGCAGGTGATAGCTTAAACCTCTCCGGGGAATGATCCATTTCCAACCGTATGCTAACATCACACTCAACATTTCCCCGTCTCTTAATCTCGAAACCCTCAACATGCTCAGAAGCCCTGGCACTATCCCATACAATTGTATTATTATCCGGGTAATGAATCGGATCTAATTGGATGGTAATTCTCTTGAAAAACGACGACATTTTAGGCAACGACGGGTTCGCCAGCTTCGGGCCATTCCCATCGACAGGCTCCGCATCATCACTCTCTAGAACATACCCCATAATTCTCAGTGTCCACGATGGAGGAGGCTCCGCGCAATGCTGCTGAAACGGAGGGTTAGGGTTTTGGGTCTGATTATCAAAAGTATTAGAGATATGAATTCTCAAAACACGCTCCACAGGAGGCGGCAATCGCATAACCTCCTGAATATCGAGCTTTTTCCTGGCCAATGCCGCATCCACGCGCGCCTCAAACTCCACGAGCTCGGTGTACACCGCACCTTCAGGCAACACCGCAGCAACCTTGTCAGGGATGCGCCTCTCCGCCACTTTCTGCTTCTTTCGCATCGCTGCGGGCATCACGTCTGTCGTCTTGAATGCAGACGACGCATTCCCGCCCGCATTGTTCGCCCCCACGGATTTTGGACGCATTCCAACCCGAACTGTTCCTCCCAAAGGGCCCTTCCCCCGTTTAGCACTGGACCCTCCTCCTCCCCCTCCCGGCGGTGCCCCCATTTGCCTCACTTGCTGGCCCAGCGATCCAGGGCCGCCACTGGACGATGCTCCCCCCTGCATCAATCTCCCAACCTCAACCTTGAGACTTCCGAATTCCTCCTTCTCCTCCAGCTCCTCCTACCCCTTCAGTGCGTCAACTCGGTGCGAGAGAAGCTACGACAGCAGCGAGAGACCACGCCTCTTCGGTGTTCAATAGCGATAAATTGCGGTGCGGTAGTGACCAAGGGTGAGGCAGAGCTATGGCGGAGACAACACAGCTGAACCTGCCTCTCCCTCCCCCCTCCCGCCTTCGCTCGTAGAATCGTGTAGCTGAAACCTCCCAACTCAATAGACTGGCTCCGCCATCGCGGGCCGTCGGATTGCAGTTGCAACGCAGATTCAATCTTAACCGCCGATCTGATTTCTGGGATAGGAGGGAGGGAACGTGGGGGAACCAAGGGGGCGGGCAGGTCGGAGGCTGGGCAAGTTAGAAGGCGGCAGGTTGGGACCTCAGAATCCATTCCTCATTGGGCCCGCACTCATCCACATTCACATGGGTGCTGAAGTTTGTTCAGTTTGTACATGATCCTTTTGTTCCCAGGAAGGATTTTTGCAACTCATAAAATTTGCTCAATAATTTTTTCTCAAACACAGATATTTCATAAATAAGGATTCATCGCTGATTATTTTCTTAGGAGAAGAATTAAAACAGATATTGACTACATTTTAATTTGCTTCATTTTTTAAATAAACATTTAATTTACACATACTCCATTGAAAAGATCATAGAGTTTTATTATTATATTTTAATTTTTAAAATTTAAGAAAAATCATATAATTAATTTTCGCTTTAAAATATCACTTTGGTACAAGATATTAATATCAAATTATCATATTTTAAATTATTTTATAAATCATAAAATATGTTCCACAAGCATCACATATCTTAGTAGTTTTACAATTAAAAAAAATGTAATAGCTATTATAGTGTGGTCATAAAAACCACCACAAAATAAAGATGGGACATGTAATTTTTTTCCATGCACAAGTCAAGGAAGCTCTCTACTTTTAGAATGTGGGGCCACTTATCCTACCGCATCCTTCGCACTCCTTTGCTTGCACTATTAAGTTATCCTTAGCTCTTCTATCCCTCTCCTTCATCTTCTCTCTCTCTCTCTCTTTACTTCATTGCCCATGTTATTGTCGTGTGATAATACAACTATATAGTAAAAAATAAAAATATGGAGGTTATTATTGAAGAGCATAGCGGAAAGATGTAATAGAAAAATAAGGATAAAAGATAGAAAGGTAGTAAAAGATTTAGTTTAGATATTTTTCTTTTTATAGAAAAAACTTCTATTTACTTTATAGAGGCATAAATGAGTCAAATCAAAGTAAATGGGATAAAAAATTGATATATGCATGTTTAAGAGAGAATTAACAATAGGATAAAGAAAATTTCCTTCAAATTAACAAAGATTGATACTTAGAGAGGATCGGTTGTCAACCAAGGTCAAAATCAAATCTTGAGGCTTAAAACTATATTCATACATCAATATCAAGGTTCTTTGGTAGATTAGAAAATGGGATTTGAAAGCAGACTAGAGGAGAGATTTTTGGGCATTGGTTGTATGTCAATTGAATCAATATTGAGTTTTTGAGGGATTTTCAAAGTTAGTGATATTCATGATTGATTAGGATTTTGAGAAATAAAAATATGTTTATAAATTTGAGGATTTCTTGAGTTTTGAGATGTGTATACATGAATTTTGGGTAATATGTTGGTGTGCTAGTTGTAATTAAGTGTGCAAATTTTGAACTCAATCAAATGATTAGATCAAAATGTGCGAAGGCTTTTGTGTGTTGATGTCTCAAAAATTGGAATTTAAGGATTAGTTAGTATTTCTAAGATCTTTAGTAATCTATCAATTGGATTGAAGTGAAATTTTTTAATATAGATATTAGACTTGATTTTTAACATTTGAGTGAAATTTGAAAGCAATTCAATACTTCAAGAAAGAGGTATTGATGCCGGAAGTTCAGTATTTAGGTTGGAGTAGGAGGTCGCTCAACACTCAATTGGATTATCTTATATTTCTTTTAATTGATAAGTGCAATTGATTTTATCTTTATTGTAATTTTTTCTAACTAAGATATTAGGAAGAGTGAAAATATTGAGTTGATATCAATGATTTGATTTTTAGTATTAAAATTCTATTTTGCTATAGGATTTGATTTAGGATTTGTCTTTGGTTTGGTTAGGGCTTAGGAATTGATCTAGGATTTGATTAGGATTAGGATTTGCTTGGGATTTGATTTAAAACATGACTAGAAATTATTTAAGATTTATCTAAGATTTAGGATTTTATTAAGATTTCATCATGGTCTAATCTAAAATCTAATAAAGGTACAACTAAGATTTTAATTAGGATTTGATTTAGGAATTGATTAAGATATAATTAAAATTTCTATTTTTATATTTTAAGAAGATTTTTTTATATTTTTTCATATTTTGCATTTTTTTTAATTTGTAGTATTTCTTTAAGCTTATTATTATTATTTTAAAAGTTTATTTTTATATTTTTAAAGATTTCTTGTTATTTTTCTTTGAAATTAGTTTAAAACTTCTTTGTGTTTTTTTATAACTTCTTTTAAATTTAATTTAGATTGATTAAAATTTTATTAAGATTATTAAGGTTTACTTAAATTTTATTTGAGATTCTATTAGACTTAGTAGGATTGTTGTTGCATTTTTACTTACCTTCTATAGTTAGGTGCTTCATGCATTTTCAAGGAAGAACACATGCAATATGATATAAATGATGAACTTGATGTGAGAGCTTAAAGTAGGAGGTATTGGATTTTTTTATTTTTTTATTTTTTTTATTTAATAGATAACAAGAGCAAGAATTTTGAAGAATCTATGGGAAGAGCTTTGAATAGAGCTACTAGTGGAGTTTTTATTAAAGGACAAGGTATATATTTGAATCCAACCATTGTAAGCATGTTTCAAGCTTTTATATTATTCACGCAACAATAGCAGAGCAATGATTGTAAAGAAGCTTTGGTAGTAAAAACATTATAAGAAATAGTTAATAAGATTGACCAATTTGATGGAAGAGACATTTCAAAGTATTTAAGATATTATGTGTAGGAAATGGAATTAAACCAGATCTTTGTGAAGAAGATGATTGAACTATTTAGACTTGCCTTAATATCAAAGATTTGAGAACATGTTATATCAATTATGAAGCATTATAGGAGTTTATAGGAGATATTTTCACATGCATTAAAAGACAAATATTTTTAGGAAGACACTAATTGTATTACTTAAAAATTATTTTTAAAATAGATTAAATAGCCTAACAAGAATTTACAAGTAATAGAGCTAATAATAATTTACAAGAATTTTGAAAGACAATATTTTCAATTATTGAAGGTAGAAAAGTTGAAATTTGATCAAAAAAAGATTGAATTCTTTCTTTGAGCAGCTGATGGAGAATTACAAAAAAAAAAAAAAAAAAAAAAAAATGATTCTTGAAGATAAAGAAGAAGATGAAGGATTGACAATAAAGTGGAAAAATATTAAAAATGTTGTAGGTTTGCTTACAAAAGAAGAGAAGAAGAAGGACAATGTTAATATTTTAAGAGTAGTACAAGCACCTAAAACTCAAGTTCATACAACATGATCAGTAATGCTTATTATTCAATCTCTAGCATCTACATTAAAGAAAAAAGATATAAAAGTTAGAAAAATTATACATGGTATTATGAGATCTTCATATCAAATTGGCAAGACTTAAAGAAAAGACTTCTATAACTAATTTAAAAGCTATTTCTAAACAAATAAATGTACAAAGATGCATTTGGTGTCATAATGTTTTTTATAATAAGAAGGATTATAATGAATTTAATAATATGATATAACAAGAGGTTATTTTTTGGAAAGATAGAAAAGTGGCATTAAAGGATACAAGAGACCTTCTTGAAATCAATTTTAGCAAGGGAGGTATAAGAGCATTGATTTAAGACTATTTAGTAGCACATAGAATAGCAATATGAAAAAGTGCAAGTTATGGTATTAGGATAGATGATGAATTTGATGAAAATATAGAAATAAGTAGATTTTGGACTTTAGCCATTTCTACAATATAAAAAGAAAAGACGCCTCAAAAAGCATTATTTAGAACTATAGCTACAATATAAGATGCAACATGTTGAGAAGATCCTATAGATGTTCTTTTAGTTCATGCATATATTGCTAAGAGCCAATATAAAACCTTAATGGAAGAAAAGAGAAGAAGAAATATTGACAATATAAGATAAGGAAATTCTTCTAAGAGATAAATTCAAGGAAACAAAGCTCATGAGATGGCTTCACAAGAATTGTCTATAAAAGGTACTTCAACAATATTAGAAAAAAAAAAAAAAAAAAGGAGACAAAAGATAAAGATAAATCAATAGTTTATAAACTACTCTTTGATATTGAAGCAACATTATATTTAAAGGAGGTATTAAATGAATGTGTACTAAATGCTAAGGTAGAGTTCACATTAAAAAAGATTTTAGAAATTACAAAAAAAAAATTCATGATGTTATTATTGAAAGCATTAGAAGATAGAGATAATTAATAAGTGAAGGTGGTGGCAAGGACAAGAACTCGATGAAAAAACAATTCAAACAAGTGAGCATTCACTCAAAGAGAGGTAACAAAATATATATAACAAGTATATATATTGAAAGAGAAACTGGAATGGCTATTGCCAAAAGACAAGAAAACTAGAGACCCTTGAAACAGACTAGAAGCAAGAAAGGAGTTGACAAGAGTGGAGAAGCCTTCACTATTGTCTCTATATATACTATCTAATTAAGAGCTACGTGGCGACGTTCTATAGGACCTCCAATATGTGTTGACTTTGTAGGGCACATGCCTTGACTTACAAGGCAAGTTTTTCTACGTGTGTGCCACATAGTTAGCTTGATCTTCAAGCTAACAACATGTGTGGCACATGGTCAACTTGTTGACCACGTTTCTAATCCAAAAAGTCAATTAAAGATACCTATGAAGTCAAAGCATCCTCTAGGAAGTTTCTAGGAAGCTTCCATATTAAATATTATAGAATTAACTTACTTTTACCTACTTTTACTTACTTCTATCTATTTCTATATGTAATTATTAGCATACATGATTATGGCCGTGACATTACCCCCCCTTCTAGGGACGAATTCCACGAAGAGCGGTCATCATATCTTGAAGAAATCTATGATGCAACGAATTGTATTTGCCACATACTCTGATCTTTGTTCTC